GCAATGCTGGACATGAGCAAAGGCAGATAATTTCTGCATATCACATTTTGTAGTGAATTAATTTGGCACGATTCCCAGAGCTTTTTTATTGACTTTCCACTTTTAATTAAGTAGTCAAACTTTGCTGGAACAGCCTAGTACAGAAAGCCAAGTTTTGTGAACATTCAGAGAAAGAGAGTTTTTAATTCTGACAAATACTCATTCTTGTTGCAATCTCTCGTACTAGCTTTAAGCAAACATTTACCATTCGCCAGCTCTGCTCAGTGTGGTAAATAGATGTACTCACAAAGAGCTTTGAGAAACAAAGACATTTTAAAATACTCTTTAAATTGATTTTAATAAAACTGCAGAAATAAGACTGCCCACCAAACTTTTAACAACAGAAAATGATAACATAATGGGGTGAATGACTCAGACACAAGTCACACCATTATTTGCCATTTTCTGAAGCACAGGTCTTCCTCATATGAAAGAATCATAAGTTCTGGGTTTTCATTTTTACTCACTTTGATAATCTGCCTAGAACTTGAGGAGTCAGAGAAGAGACCTGCACAATGTATAGCCTCCGACAACATACAGCCTCCAAAGCCTTTGACCTGACATGCTAGCAACCTGCGGAGGATATCTGATGCTTGGCCGCCTGGAGACAGAGTCATGCAGAAGAGACCCAGCTCCTGGTTGGCCAGAGAGCAAACATCTGCCCCATCACACTCCACATCCAGCTGCCCACCACACATCCAAATATCTTTCAGAACAAGAAAGTTTGGAAAACGAGCAAGGGTGTTGAAAGGGACACTGGAAAGTAGGAGAAGGGTAGAAGATACGGAACATGCAGGGAATAAATAAGGTGGCAGATGAAAGGAGCGGGGATTATTGCACCATGTGGGGCATCAAGGATGTTGCATTAGAGAAGGTGTTGATGGAGTGAGGATTTGAGCATCCCACACACACACACTCTCATATCATATATCCCAGCTACTGACATAAACAGAACTGAGAAAAACAGAACATTGTCCGGCTTTATTTTAAACTGCCCCTCTAGAAGGTATCAGAAAACTTTCTCTGCAGCACAACATCAGGAGAGATGGGCAAGACAGTCTAGAGTCTCCATCTCACTTGGATTTAACAGTGCTTAACTCAAGAGTTCTCTAAACCCCTGAGAGTTTCACATTTTTCCTGCGGCTTTTACTTCAGATATGGGTAGTCCTGGAAAGATCCACACAGTTATGGCACCAGCAACCTGAAGACCTCAAATGCCTAACTAAGACCAATAAAGTCCATGAGTCACAGTCTCAGGGGAATCAGAGCTACTTGGCATGCACCCAGAGAAGGTCATTTGGAGCATGGGAGACTATTTCTAAATAACCCAGAGCTTTGCCACTGGGAAAAATAAATAGAACTATGTATCTTGTTTCCACATCTTAGCTGGCTAAATAAATAGCTCTCATAGTGCACTCTCCAGGGCAGATTCTTAAAGTGACCTTGATCCTGCTGCTGCTCAGGACAGGAGAATGCGGGTGTATCCACAAGAGAAGTGGTGCATTTTCGATGCTGCATTCCTGGCAGCTGATCTAAGAACAAGGGTAATCTCAGCCCCCACACTTGCCAGCTGTTCCTTCCCAGCAGGAAGGCAAATCATGATGGCACATAGTTATGAAGCAGACAGAAGGTATCAAGAGCAAATAGAAAGACAGGATCAGAGGCTTGCTGGGAGGACTTTGGAGTTTTCCTCTGTCGGCAAGTTACAGAGTAGTGTTCTCTTCAAGTTCCATACAGATAGCCAAAAAGAAGCAGATGTTTTTGTGATCAACTAACTACCCCAAAATAACCCACTCAGCAGATTTCAGCAGAGCCACAGCAACTTTGGGAAGAGCTACACCAGTGTCAGATGACCAGGAGCACATGCTGAACTAGACAAAGCACATGATCCTTTTTTATTCTTTCTCTCCATCTTGAAAACCCACCCATAATCTTCCTCTCTTAGTCACCCTACAAATTTTTAACTAGAGCCGCTCAAAAAAATAGAAGGACATTTTCACATGTACCCACTTCCATTTTTCTGAAGGACTGTAAAGATGCCTGGGATTTTCAGGCCATAACTATCCCAGGCATTCACTATTGCTGGGAAAGAATCCTACAGCCTGGACTTCTGGTCTGAGGACCTAAATTCTGCTCAACAACATCTCTTGAGGCTGCTTTTCCCAATGAGAGCAGTGTTTCCAAATAGACCACAAACAAGAACAGTCTCTACTGAATAATAAGAAACTAGTGGCTTTAAATAGGTTGCAAGCATTTTTTTAAAACAAAACAGGTTTGCGTACCTCTTCTGATGTAAACCAGACTGTCTCCACTGAGCCATTGTCCTTCTCAGCTGTTCCTAGTTACTACATGAAACAAGCAGCTTTGAGCCCTAGGCAGGCCAGCTGAGTGGCTACCAGGCTTCAGCTGATTTATGGTTCTTGCTCGTTAACCCAAGTGCAGGTGGGAGCCAAATCACCTTTTTTTTTGTGAGCTAGGTCCTAGGAAATATTTCATCCTCTGTTTGCACACTCATACAAATACGTTTTAAGAAAAGCACAATTATTTTAGGAAAAAAAGGAAATCAGGAAACCAAACTAGCAATGAGGAAGCTCCAGTAGACACTAATTAATGTGTAATATACCTTTTTTCAAAAGGAAAATAAATCCAAGCTTTTCAGCAGTAAATACAATGGCTTGTTAGCAATAAAACTGGAGCTTTATTGAGGGAAATTTTGAGTTCGCGTTTTCTGGGGGGTGTGTGTGTGTCCCAAATGGAAAAAAAGGTCCACAGAAGAGTTCAAAACAATTCTTGTACATGAGACAAAAGGAAGAAAAACCCAAATATTGCACACTGATAATGTGGAATAATTGAAATCAAAAGCAGTGTGTTTCTCTGAAGGCTATTTCTTTCCCTTTCTGCTTAGAAGTGAGTATTCTAGACCGCTTTACAGTCTACATTACAACCCTCAGCAGCACTAGCTGCATCTCCAAATGAATCTCAGCAAAAAGCCGGGCTAGAATTGTGTGACAGATACGAAGTTTTCCACTTCCCTGAGAGGAAACAGCAAATGGAAAAAGCAGCTTTGCACAAAATTCATTTAGAATGCTTTTATGTAGCCAGTCCCATTGCTTAATGGAGAACTGATACAGGCCCAAGTCCCATTACACACAGATCCTGACCTATGAGGCTATCACAGAAGTAGAAATAACACTAGTCTAATCACAGCCAACACTTCCATAGGAAGGAAACCAGGGAATTGAGTGGAATTTGCTTACTTATTTAAGCACAGGCATAAACACACCAATCACTTTTGGTTGCCTCAGAAGTCAAGCCCAGCTCTGGGTCTAACTCATCCTAGGCACCCCTGTCATACATAAAGCAGTTCTCCAGGTTCCCTGAATCTTCAAGTTGTAACATGAGGTCTGAGGGTAATCTTGGGGAGTGCTCAGATATCCTAGGAATAATATCCTGACGATAATATTCTTTGAGCTGGGTAATATACAAACCTCTGTGTAGGAAACATCCTGACATCATACTTTTGGACAGACCATGTAGAGGAATCACAGGTACTCTGGCTAGGAGAGAACTGAAGCTGTGAAGCAGTTCCAGCTACTTAGCACTATACTAGAAAGCCAAAAATGCAGGCAAAAGTGAGTTGTCTTCCATTAACAAGGCAACTGCAGGAAGTTGTGTGTCTTCTGGGCCCACTCAGTATCTTATTTAGCAAAGCAAACTGTTCAAAGTTCTTTTATAGCCCCAGACGCATAGGCAGAAGAACTAGAAGAATGCTGCACTTTTAGCAAACAACAGTACTATATGTTAACATGCAAGTTCATTACCTGTGGCTAGTGGAAATTAATTCAAATTCCTTCCCATGCAATGTATTATGTAACTGGCAATATTGGGAGAACTGATATCAGTCTTTGATGGTAACAGCAGGATGGACGTTATTTATTGGTGCCCTCATCCAGAGTGACTGGCCTCCACTTCAACCACAGCTAACCAAGTGGTTGTGAAACTGTTGTGCCACATCTGTCCATCCACATCTCACCTATATGCAATGCTCAGCCTAAAGCTATTTCCTCAGTAATCACCAGCCATGAACTGCACCCATGTCAGGTCCATGCAGAAGCCAAAACTGACTGAATGTTGCCATGTCCTTGGTGAGACGTGCACGAACAAGTAGGGACTATGTGCTCCACATGACACTGCATGTATAAGTGGGAGAACTGGCAGGTTCTGCATTGCTTAAGCAAATGTGATTGTGTGGGCACAGCTCATACCAGTAAATTCTTCCTCCTGTTTGTAATGAACAAGCCACAGAGATGTGTTATGTCTTTCTGTGGAGGACAAACTACAAAGTTTGCCTTGAAAGGCATCTGAGGAAGTGGTCAGAATGGACAACTTGGAGACTAATGTTCGGCATTAAGATGGAGACATAAAATGGACTTGCTGTCTTCAGAAAAAACTATTTTAAATATTTGGGATGGGCTTAAAAGCAGATCCAGATTAATGCTAGTAAGAACTGTCTTTTACTTCAAAAATATCATGATGACCTGGTCACAACTGTCTGCAAAAGGAGGATAAGGCAGTACTGCATGATTCCATTGCACCTGTCCCTGGTCCAGTGGTGGCAGGAGGTTCTTGCTAAGGGGTAAGCAGGACTGGTTTGTCTGCTGCCAGCACACGCTTCTCAAAATCCAGTCCTGACTGTGAAATTAAGGAAAATACCTTGCAATCAAACTGCCATCACTGTATAGGGTACACTACAAATAAATGGCCACCAGCATGAATCATATGATGAATCACAGCATTAACGTGTCCTTCAGGGAACTATTTCTGCCCCTTAAAAACCTCTGCAGATTTAAAGTGAGTGGAAATTGTGCATCCATTTCTGATTTCTTTGCCTCTTCAAGTGGAACAAAAATTTTATTTCTTGCTGTCCTGGAAAGATGAGTTCCCTTTGGGCTATTGCCTACCTGACTGTCCTGACGTGTCTCTTGCTGTAGGGGGTGATGACTTTGAAAATCAGCTCCATGGCTCCATTGATGCCAAGTGTGGTTCCTGTGGTAACTAAGCCAATAAAAGAGAAAAGCAGTCAGATCTGAAGCAGTCGGTCTGCAAACGTTGTGTTTAGAGGTGATGTGGGGTAGGGAGCATCTGCCTCTAGGGTTATGACCAGATTTCTCTGGGCTCCCAACTGAACTTCACAGGTCATTTTACAAACACAGAAATTGAAACACAAAGCTGTCTGTTGGCACAACCTAAGCCAAGATTAAACGCAAAACCAGTCCTTCAGTTCTTCCCCGAGTTCCCCAAAGCCACTTTTCCTGTAAATATTGTACTCTCCAGAGAACAAATTATGGTTAAATAGCTTCATCTCCCAGCAAAATGATAAGGCTCAAATTTATCCCACATTTCCCACAAGCAACTCCATGAGGATAGTTTATTTCATATGGGCATGGAGGGCAGAGTTTTCTTTCTGTGCTGTTATTCAGCAATATAGAAGAGGTTTTGGGGGGCAGGGCTGCTTCTGAATGAAGCTTAATTTCAGCTAGGCCAATTTTACCTTTAATCCTCCACTTGCTAACACACTAGGAACTTTTATAGATAGACTTGCAATCTATTCCAAAAATGCCTAATGCATAAACTAGATGTTTAGCCAGACCTCCCCACTATGAGGTAGGATCTTTGTGCAAAGAAGGGATGAATACAGCCCTGAAATATTAAATGCAAGCGAACAGGGTGAAAGGATCAGTAATCAACAGCAGCCAGAGGGAGACCTGGCTGCCTGCCCACTGCTGGGTTTTGGCTGTTTTGTAAATATCTCCCAGTGGTCATCAGAGAGCTGCCAGAGGGCCCCATCATCTCCTGCAGTCCTACTGTGTCCCCGCCAAGTTGACCTGTGATGGAAAGCTTTGCAAGGTTTGCCAGCTACTTTCATGATAGCTGTTAATTCGTTAGAGACAGGGCGGTCAACAAGGCTGCTTGAAGTCATCCTGCCCCAGAGCACGACGTGGACTGCCACACACAACTGGTGGCAGAGATTGTGAAGGGAGCAACCCGGAGCAAAGAACTGGTGCAAGAGATTTTGAGAAAGACTCATCTTTCCTGCTTTCAAACCTAAGCACTCTCAGAGTTTTATATGCTTCTGGATCCTCTTTAGTTCCAGTCCATAAAAATAATTTTTAAGGTTGGGAGCATGTAATCTCCTAATTTGGTACCACATCCACACAGACCTTCACCTCACTTCCCCTGCAGCTTCCCAGCTGGACCACAGAGCCCACAAAGTCAAAGTTATTTGTGGAAGGGAGAGGCACATCTGGAGAGTGCTGGAGATACCTGGAGAGTAAAGGAGCAGAGGCAGGGTTCTAGGGTCTGACATTAACAGAAAGGAGGCCAGGTTGCAGTGTGCATCCTAAAAACCTCTGAAAAAACTGCAGCTGAATTGGGATGCAGGTGCACTGAAGCAGGGAGCAGGGAAGTGTGTAGATCATCATTTTGGGTGGGAGGCAGCACAGGGTCAGTACACAGCTGTGAAACCCAAATAAAGGCACGTTTCAGCTTCTGGCCTTGGCTGCATTTTCAGTCACACTCAGCCTTTCAAATACTGCCTATCACAGGGAGAGGAGATGAATGTCGAGGCTTGGCTGCTTGCCTGAGAAAACCCATTGCATGAAGCTAGCTCCTGTACAGATAGAAGGGACCTGCAGGGCTGGGCGCCAGGAGTGCTAAATCTTAGGATGCATATAGCATACTGCAGACAGGATGGCTGTCAAGAACTATCTGCTGGGTGAGGCATGTGGGGAAGGAGAGGAAAGGGTTAGAGTGAGCAAAGGGAAATTTGTGCTGATGAACTCAGTGCTCTATAGCAGTGAAAGTCTGTATGAATCGGAATTGATTCTGGGAGAGAATACTGGAAATCCCATTGCTTGAATCATTTGATATGAGGGCATTGCCAAGCGAGAAAAGCAGGGAGAGTGCATGAGGTGGGGATACTAGACAGAAGACCAGGATCTAATATGTACCTCCTGAGAGACCTTGAATTAGTCTGTTTATCCACCTGTATTTTGCCTCCTCATGGAGCTGCTCTGAGGATCAATACAATCAACAATAGTGAGACATTTGACTGTTATGGTAATGGGAACTGCACAGAGACTTAAGGTACATAAGTCTCAGAGCAAATGAGTTGACTGTCTATATTGTAGAACAGGAGATCATTGCCATGAATATTTTTCACTATAGCACTTTCATTTTCATAGCCCACAGATGAAATATAGAGTAAAGGCTATATAGGCCCCTTAGGGAGCACCTATTTCTATGGGCATTCTGGCTTTTGTGCCTGATTCTGTATGTTAATGGTGCATGCAGGCACTAACCTTAACCCGGAATGATGTCTCTTTGTACTGGAATGACTAAAAAAACTACTCTAGTGGTTGTCACACAGAGGAAAAGAGGAAAATCCAGGCACTCACCATTAGAAGCACAAACCCGCAGGACCCAGAGGCAGTGGGTGAGCTGGAGGTGGTGGCCAAGGTTTCTTCTTGCCAAGCTCAGTATTATATCAGTTGCTTCTGCCTTCTGCACTTTCAGCCCAAACTTCCTATCTGTGAAAAGCAAGTAAGAATCAAACTGTTACAAAGACCAGGTCTTTGCAGCAGTGCTGATAAACTTATTTGCACCAAACCTGATAACTCAAGATCCCATAACAAAGGCATTCAAATGTATCAGTGAGTTAGATGAGCATTATTCTCACTGAAAACAGGAAAACATGGAATTTACCTAGAATCACCATATAGAAATCATAGAATCAATGGTCTGGGTTGGAAGGGACCTTTAGGGGTCATCTAGTCCAACCTCCCTGCAATAAGCAGGGATATCTTCCACTAGATCAGGCTGCTCAGAGCCCCATCCAACCTGACCTTGAATGTTTCCAGGGATGGGGCATCTACCACCTCTCTGGGCAACCTGTGCCAGTTTCACCACCCTCATTGTAAAAAATTTCTTCCTTATATCTAGTTTGAATCTACCTTCTCTTAGTTTAAAACTTTTACTCCTTGTCTTGTTGCAACAGGCTGTGCTGAAAAGTCTGTTCCCATCTTTCTTATAAGCCCCCTTTAAGTACTGAAAGTCTGCTCTAAGGTCTCCCTGGAGCCTTCTCTTCTCCAGGCTGAACAACCCCAACTCTTTCAGCCTTTCCTCATAGGAGAGGTGCTCCAGTTGGATGATCTTCATGGCCTCCTCTGGACTTGCTCCAACAGGGCCATGTCCTTCTGGTGTTGGGGCCCCCAGAGCTCAGGGCAGTACTGGGGAGGGGGGTCTTACCAGAGTGGAGCAGAGGGGCAGAATCCCCTCCCTTGACCCAAGTCCTTCTTGGCAGGGCTGCTCTCAATACCTCCATTTCCCAACTGTATTGATACCTGTGGTTGCCCCAACCCAGGTGCAGGACCT